GAGATGAAATTAATATTCTATTAAGTCAATCATTTAAAATAATTAATTAAATTAAATTGAGGTAGGTGGACAACAACCCTATTGTATATAGAAATTTAATTTTTGTAAACTAGCTTATTTCCGCCAAACATAATAGGTCTAGTGTATGAAATATGCATACCATAATTTGTCTGTGGATCGATAAGCATCAATTGACCCGAGCATAGTTTAACAGATAAGAAATCAACTATCATTCTAAAAGTTGATGGTTTGATTCTCTACTTAATTGAGCACAATCTTATAATGGTTCTAACTTATAGTTCATCTTACAATATGAACACGGTTAATTTGGACAAATTCTCTATCGTGAATTAATTGAGTAATCTTTAATTGATCCCACAATATAATCACTATCAACAAAGATCATTGTCATGACATACCCATATGTCTCTCAACTACCATATACCATCATGGACCATTGTCATTATCCAAAAGAGTTCACAACTAAGGAATAGTCCACGATCTCTTGATTGTCCTCACATACATTTAAGGGCACGACCCCAACAATAATAACTCATATCATAGACTATCGAAATAAGTTTATAAGTAAAAGTTAGCTGGTGATTCCTTGGTAGCCCATATATTGTACCGTATCATTTGATTAGAGAGTGACACCACATCATAGCTAGCTCCAAACGAAATATGTAAACACATGTCAATCAAGTTCACAATTAATAGTAACCATCACACCTAACACATAATAGCATTTACACATAATGTTACATTATATAGTAGAAACATGTATCGTAAGTAGAGTATGATAAATTGCATAATAAAATAACCTATCATGCTAGTAAAATGCAAAATAAAATAACCACTCGTGCTCATTAACCCGTATGCATCATGCTTTCAACAACAAATTTTAATCTTTATCTCAAATCATCCACAGAAATTAGTTCTAACTCAATCAAATTCAATCCTACAAGTCTTGAATCGCAACTTATTTTTTTAGTCAAATTAAAAGTGAAATGACGTTCATAAAATCATCCAATGAAAATTAAGAGAGAAAAAAATAAAAGTATTTAAACAAGATCTTTCACTGAATACGATTAAGGTTCTATAATAATGAAAACTTTTACTAAGACACGACTGAGTCTCATAATAATATCTCTGCAAGTCTAGCAAAACATGAATTTTTCGTCTCACAAAAAGGGTCGAACATATGCTGAAATTAAACTCTGTATCCCCTGCTGTTTCTTTTTCCTCTTGCTCTCTCAAACTTCCTTCCCTTCGACCTCACGTATGGTTTCGTATGGCTGTGAGGAACACCAGGAGCTGGACCGAAGTGCTTCACGGCTTCACGGGAATTCTTTGGTCCACGAAGAAGAACCTTTGAAATCAAAATTAACAGAAGGTTAAGTATGAATCTAAGCATATCTGAATGTTGTTGAACATGAGAACTGATGAAACACGGAGCACATAGCTAAATAAAATAGGAATATGTCACAGTTAGGAGCCTTTGATAACAGTGAGTACCAGAGGTTGTGTTTTGAGTGTGATAGAGAAAGTAAATGGGGTTGTAATCTTACCGTATTCTGACCAAGAGGTGCCCTCAGGGCAAGCTGGTCGAATGTCAAGCACTCACCACCTGCCTTCTCAATCCTTGCCCTTGCGGTCTCGGTAAACCTCAAGGCTGTCACTTTCAAAGCTGGAACTTCATAAACGCGAATGTCGTCGGTCACAGTTCCCACAATGACGGCAATTTTATCTTCCTATACCATGTTAACCACCAGAGAATTTAGACAAGGGAAAATAACACAAAGGCTGAAATCAAAATATTAAGAACATGTAGTGCATAAATATAAGTACACACCTTTCCCTTCATGAACTTGATAAGTCTGGATAGAGAAATTGGTGGCTTGTTCACCTTGCTCATGAACAAGCGCTTCAGGATCACGGAATTGAAATTGCTTCCAGTTCTTCGGACAAGAAACCGGTACAGCTGAATTCAGTAAGCAAGATTAAAGATCAATCATTTAAGCAATCAAAATAAGTGTAATGAACTCCTAACAAAGAATTAACTTATTGTTGAAAACAATCTTAAATGCAAGAAAGTTCTCACTATATATAAAATATAGTAAATATCATATGGAGCAAAACATAGATGATTTTCCCCACAGAAAAAGGGAAGAGATAACCCCCAACCACATAGAGGACCCAGTTTGGATTACAAACCCACACTACTAAGCTTGAGAAAAAAAGGTTATTATAAATATTTTGGATATGCAAACAAACACACACCACTACTGGAAATAATATATTTACAACTCTAGGCTAGTTCCCTCAGTGACAAGTTGAAGATCAGTCATCGTGTAATCAGTATTCGCATGGTTTGAAAAATGAAGCATCACAGGGAAAAACAACCCATTGCTCTATCAGAATGAATAGAAGCCTTACTCGATTAGTAAATGGACACAACAGAAATTAATGCATGACCCATATTTTTCATAACCACTTTACTTCCGAATTCAAGATGCAATGAAAGAAACTTCAAAAGTAGAATAATTTGAACTCAGACAAATATGTGGATTAAGTCCAGTCCTTGACCTAAAAAAAGTCTCATAATGAGCTGGGTATCACATATTTCATCTTGCGGAAGAGACTATAGTCGCATACCAATCAAAATATAATGAGTGAGAACTAAAACCATGAGAGCAAAAAAGGTTCCAAAACTAAAAATTTGAAATCAAGGTTTATTAATGGCCAATGATTAATGACATCTTCTGGTTCTTGTTCAAATTAAACTAGAAAATTGAACTCTAAACCTGGGCTCAGATAAATGTGGAACTAGTTCATTCCTAGACCTACGGAAGGTCTCATAATGAGCTGGGATACACAGATATCATCACTGCATAAGAAATTTCCACTACTTTCTTATCAAACAACCACATTTCAAACACAACTACGTTAAAAAAATGTAGAACCAAAAACCGAAATATGAGCAGAGAACAAATACAAAAATAACAATGGACAAAGTTCCAAATGATGCTCACAAAATTAGGTTTGAAACTCCATTCTCCCTTCGCGATATCTCAAGTTAAATCAAATTCATTTTAAAATAACCATACGCATAATCACCATTCGCTAAGAAAAATCTACAAAAATGCAAGAGCTCGTGAGTACAGCGGAACCAATGACGATTAGAAAAACCAACCTTAACAAGAAGCTTGAGGTAGATATCATCGGACTTAGGGGCAGTCCTCTTGGTCTTCTTGCTCTTACCTCCTGCTACAAGATCGATCCCCTGTAATAAATGGAAAACGCATCTAAGACATTGATCTACGCCATTGTAGGCAGAGAAAATTAAGTAAAGAGAGAAAGAGAAAAAGACTGACCATTGTCGTTTAAGGTGGAGAAAACCCTTCCCTTCTGCGACGGCGACGGCGACCTCTGAGGGGAGGAAAATGGCTCTAGGGTTTTTGAAGACCCCTTTTATGGAAGCCGAGGGCAAAAGTGATGCACCACTGCGGCGCGTTTAACCTATCTTCAGAAATTGAATCTTGACCGTACACGTGTACTGTTAACTAATTTACAATATAATTCGGAGGTTTTATAACCTATCTAATTTAATTATAAATTGGTTAAAATATTATTATTTAACAAATTTTAATAAAAATCAAATTCAACCTAACTTTAAAATAAATAAATAAATTATGTGTTTCATAAATTTAATATTTATGGAAAATATATTAATAAATAATTTTAAAATTAAATAAAATTCAAAATACCAAGACTAAAGGGGCAACCTTTTAAATTCTACCATATATATAAACAATTACTCATATAATTGTTCATCGTAGAGAAAAAGATAACGAATTTTCATAATTTTTGTTGATTTAATTAAAAATAAATAAAAAAAGCATGTCAACGTTTATCTAATATACACATTGTTTAGTGTTCTAATTATCGACCTAAATTAGCTCATTGAGCTTCAGATAGAAAAATACCTTTTCTACTAACCCATGGGATCGAGAGTGACATAGATGGCTAACTACCAGAAAGAGAAATCAAGGTCGATCAAGTGAGATTTTAGACAATGACCATCGTATATTAGGTTAACTCATCGTTCGATCCTAATATATATGTTGACATGAATCCATATGAGTATAGGAACTAATCTTATTGTTAAAACAATACGTTCTATTAGTATGCTCAGTTTTGCATTACTTCGTTCTAGGTATTCAACCATGTCAAAACATATGACACAAAATTTGACGTCTCTATGAAATCTTACATGTACGTCAACTCTAACAAAGATAATTAGGATCGGTATCTTGACCTGTACTGATTATGTCAAAATCTCGTATCAATTTTATGTTAAAACGAGTGCGTGTGCATATATTTGCAAGTATAATATAAGGAATTTGTGTTAATTTTATTACTAGGGGTAACAACATTGTCTCCTCGATTAACATGTATACGAATGAGTGAAATAAATTTAGTAGGATTATAACTATCAAAGACAGAGATGTATTTGTCTCGGTTGCATAAAATGATATTTCTAATAATTTTTATTTTTTTATATATACATACACATATACTGAGACGAGATAGGGATTAGGGGTTGGGGATAGAGACAGGGACGGAGAATGTAATAACCTTTCCCGACCCGTCCCGACCCGTTTAGCTTAACAAGGAGAAATTCCTTCTCGCTCCTTCTCGATTTCCTATTTAGTCATCAATTTAAAAATAAAATATTACGTTATAATTAAATTTGGTAATTTTTATTAATTTTTATTTTAAACGACAAATCGTGTCAACACTCTTGACCGCATTAGTTGGGCTGGGTCCAGCCCAGACAAAAAAAGCGTCCTAATGCCACCAGCGACCGCGCTTTGACATATGACGACACGTCGGAATACTATCACGAAACGGGCCGGATTAACCGAGTGGGCTAAAACCGACCCGTTACAGCTCATCGACTGTTTCTCCTTTTTTTACGTCGCCCTGTCCCGTCTCTCTCTCTCTCCTTCTGCTTAAGTTCGCTTGAAAATCGGTGAAAAAATTTCCAGTTTCTGGCAATGGCTGACGACGAAGTGGAGCTCAGCGACGAGCAGAAGAAGGAAATCGCGAAGTGGTTTCTTCTAAACGCTCCCGCCGGAGAAATCCAATTCGTCGCCAAAGGTAATAAATTACAATTCGGTTCATGTAGATGTTTATTTTTGGATATACATTTTAGACAATCATTTCCGGTGATTTTTCTTGTTCGAATTATGAATTTGATGTTTTGTGGTTATCAATTTTCAGATGTGAAAAAAATTTTGAATGACGATAAGTTGTACCACGAGGCAGCATCTGAAGCGTTTCCTCAGTACAACAAATCACACATGATTTCCCTCGAAATGCCTGGCTTAGTTGGAGATGTAAGTTTCTTATACCGATAGTCATTGTGAGCTGCTATTTTCCTTGCGGATAAGGTTGGTGAACTAGTTTTGTCGATTCGAGATAATTGTAGTGAGTGGCGCGAAGAGCCTGCACTTTGTTCTCACTGTATGCTTCGGGTTTGCTTTCGTTTTATTTAAATTTCAAGTAATATTCTGCGTCATTTTGGATTGATATGCTGTTTTATCTCGGGATTTAAATGGAATACTGTCCAGCCCCATCCAAGTAGATTCAAAAAGTTCACAAACCGTTTAGTTGTAAAGATTTCGTGCATATCTAGCTAAACAAACTGGTATGGATAGTCGGGCCAGTAGATGGTTATATACTTATTATCTCGACACTACGTTCTAGGAAGCTTGCAGTTTCGTTATTTTGTTTTCTTTAGTTTCTCAGTTTTCTCGTCTGATGTGAATTCAGGTGATTATTACACCATTCAATGAGCTTGAAGAAAACGAATTCCTTGACCCAAGAACTACACAAGTTGCTATAATTGATAATATTAAACAGGTAAGGCTCCAATCTGAATCAATCCCAGAATAGTAACCATTTTACGGATGTAAAAAGTCCAAGTGGCTGAGATAGATATTGATTTCCCCTTTCTTGAGACATGGAGAAATGAAGAAATCATGAGCACTAGATTGACAATAGAAGTAATTAACTTATCGTGGGAACTTGAATGTATATTATTTTGCTCACCATTTCTTAAGATTATTTCCGTGCTCATTTTTAGTTGATGTTCCATACCTTAGAGCATTTTCTATTGGTTTAGTCTGTACTAACAAAATCAGAATACCTGTTTATTTAATTATTCTCGAAGAAAATTTAGACTAGGTTGTTAACTACACTAGTATCTAGTATCCTTTCATGTCTTCTGGTTTATTTTACAAATTTCGTTGATTTTATTAAATTTATGGAAATTACTTACCTCCATGCATCCTCCTCCCCCTCTTTCTTGGTCAATTCAGCTTTCCAAGTTGTTTTATAATTTCATCGGTTTTTGTTCACATGGTGTTTAATTTGCTTAGGTATGTACTGCAGTGAGACCTGCTCTGGATGAGGAACTTCCTTCTGCATATGTTGAGGATTTTCGGTAGGCTTTACGACTAGTTTGAAAAACTGAAATTTAGTAACCATTCTTATTAGAGATTCATATATTAAATGATTTGATGAACGCGAGTCTTAGAATTTTCAGCACATGTAATTATCATGGTTTGACCATAGGGCCTTCTAAACAATAAAAAGCTACAAAGCAATGAGTTCAAATTATGACGACCATTTATTTAGGACTTAATATCCTACGAGTTTCTTTGATAACCAGATCTTGTAAGGTAGGCAGCTGTCTTGAAAATAGGCGAGATGCATGTAAATTGACTTAGGACATTCACCAATATTCACTTACTGATTAGGTGATAAGATATTGCCCCTTGGAAGTGAATCAGTTTCTTTCTTGTACTAACCTGTCTAAAATTTCTCTTTTGTTTAACATTGACAAAAGCGAAGTCTGTTGTGTTTAACAACAAATATATGCACTTCTATAGCATAATTGTAAAGTAGTTTGAGCCATGTTTCAGAGTATGCAGAACCATAAATTCTAATATTTTGTCTTCTGTACAATATGCTTAGAGTCTGGAAGCATCCAAGTTAAATGAGAATCCTACACCCAAAATTGTCTCGTATTGGTTCTCGTTGAAAGCTAAACTAAAACCATTAAGTACGAATGTTGAAGAGAGTATGAAAATAAACTATGAAACCGAATGAGACCGGCTAAAGTAAATAAGCCTCAAGATGTCTATGTATAATGATCAGTCTTTTTCTTTATTTTGTATTCTGTGTTATGGCAGATGTGCTGTCGATGAAGAAATTGCTCGATATGTCGGTGAAGCTTATCCAAAAGGGGTCTGTTCAGTTTACTGTGTAACTGGAAAAGATGCAGAGGGACCTGAATCTGATTTTGAGCTTGCTGTGGTTATTTCTGCTTCGAGACATAGCCCTCAGAACTTCTGGTGCGTGAATGGTCATCAGAATATAACTTCTTGACTTGTTTCTTTGTCTTCTCCTATTCATCTTCATTGTTGTTTTTTTCACTCTTCCCTCTCTTCGTTGAGATGTGTAAGGTGTGGAAGAATTAAGTATTGTCAAGTGTATGTTGATTTTATTTGTAGTTGCAGAAAATGTGATGCTTTTGGTTCATCTGTTGCTGATGACATTTCAGTTCATTAGTGTTGATGAATTCATTGTGCAGACTTCAAATTCAACTCCCTTTCTTTGATGTTTGTTTCCATTCTTGTGCAGTAATGGAAGTTGGCGTTCCACATGGAACATTGAGTTCAAGAGTGATTTTCAATCGCTTGAAATAAGAGGGAAAATGCAGGTACTTTCTGTTATTTAATTCAGGTGCACAACAGATTTGTGCCTATCTCTCTCATTTCTTGGATTTGAACTTTTTTTTAGTGTTACTAAAACCTCAAAATTCCGTCCTTTGGGGCTCATTTCATCTCTACTTTCTTCAGGTTGTTGCCCATTACTTTGAGGAGGGAAATGTTCAATTAGATGCAAAGCATGAATGTAATGATTCAACCATCCTACAGGTCATTGCTAATTTGAAAGTTTTCTTTTTAATGAATATTTTTGGTTAGTATTGTTACCTTTGGAGTCAAATGCTTGATTACTCTTGTTGTTTTTTACATTAATTTGTAGAGCATTGGGCATCCCAATATGCAGTGCAGCATGGTCATGAATAATGAAATCTTTGTTTGATAGTATGTTCTGTTATGCCATCAAATATTAGTCTAGAAAACATTCTTGTAGTCATATAACTTAAGTTTGTGATGCATTGTTCTCTGTTTGTCCATCAGATGTTTTTATTTTTTCTTGCCATACAGGGGTTTGACCTTCTTTTCAAATTGTTGAAATTTGTTACATTATTTTCAGGCTCCTGAAGATTGTGCAGTTGCGATAGCCAATATTATTCGTCATCATGAAGCAGAATACTTGGCATCTCTTGAGGTTCTGCATCTATCCATTACCATTATTGTTTATTGGGTTTTCTAGGAAGATTAACTAATGATTGTATGGTTGACAGACATCCTATTCAAACTTGCCAGATACCACCTTCAAGGTACTCTTTTTATTGGGTGAAAAGCTATTGCATTTCTAGAGCATTCCATCGGTTTTAATTCTGTTTTGTTATGTCAAATGAATTGTTCAACTCTTATCCCATTATCTTAACCATCTAATCCTAGGAAAAGTGAAGTGGGGGAATTTTTTTTTTTTTTTTTTCCAAAAATTGATTCGAAGAAGTGAAGAAGCTATTTTGATCTTTATCTTTATCTTGTTTTCACCTTGAACTTTGAATATAATAATAATAATAACTGTATAAATATTCTGTCAATTCTTTAGTTGCTGGTTGCTCGATTGGAGATTAGTTGTATGCATACAAGACTGTCATTTGTCAATTTCATCAACTTATTATAAATTTTAACCGACAATTTCTCTGTGAATTTGAACTTTTTCTTTGTTAATCTTATGCAATGTGAAAATTTGAAGTTACTCATAGATTATATGAGAAGTGGCTATATTTTCTGGCCACAGTTTTCTTCTCTTTTTCATGTCTACTCCAGTGGCGTTGTTTGGCCCAGCGTTGTCTTATTATCTCTTATCCTTAAATTGACCTTGTGAAAGAATGGGGGAAATGCTGTTATTAATGTAGTCTTGCTACTATGGTTGCTAGAGATTTTACCTTTGTGGTCTTAGTTGTCCTATGTTCTCAACAAACTCATTAGTTATCTCAGATCTTTTGTGATGCATTGTAGGATCTTCGGAGGAAGCTTCCCGTTACTCGGACCCTATTTCCATGGCATAATACCTCACAATTCAGCTTAACAAGAGACATTGCTAAAGAACTTGGAGTTGGAAAGTAAACGCACAAACATAAAGAAAAAACAGTAGCTTTGTTCACTCTTACAGGTAAAACAAAGATACAAATCTTATTCCCCTTTGGTTTGCTTCCTAAATCACTTAATTCTGCCTTTGGAGTTTCTTTCTTGTTTGTCCTTTCCTCGAGATCGCTTCCTTGTTTTGATGTCTTCCTTGTAATATTCATTCTTGTGAGTTGTATAGATGCGAACGCAATGGGATGCTACTGACTGTAAGTACTCATAATTTGTAAATTGAAGGTTATATGCTCTGTTTTATTGCATTTGATTCTAAAATAGATTATAAGTGTTGCTTCTTCTTGTTCTTCTCACCTTCTATTTGCTGTTTTTTTCCCCTTGCTTTAACAACAGTCCATCCATGCGTGTGTCTATTAAAAGTTCTCTTCCTTATTTAGAAGTTCCTCCATTATTGGTTGCCTTATTAAATTATTTTGCCCCCCTTTGATTTTATTTTGCAACCCCACTTATTTACCACTATTGTTGTGATTTCTATTATTCATGGTCCTTTCTCTTCTGCTACACCCATTGATAGGTAGGTGAGATTCCACAATGGAGGGAGGGGGAAAAATAGCTTGCTTGGTAAATTATTTTTATAGGTTTTTGTTTCTATATTTAAAATTGTTTTAAGAATTGTGGTTGGGTGTTTTGTGTTATTATGCAGATTGAAGTTGTTATTCTGAAAGAAATAACAACGTTATTTGCGTTTGAAATTAAGTCATTCATGCTATGGAGCTCCAGCAGCTAACATTTTCTCTTTAGTCTTCTTCTTCTTGCATTACCTTTCAAAGGATTGTTTAGAAGCCAACCGACGATCCTTACGATCACATAGAAGCCTCAAGAACTATATGTGGAAAGACTAGTGAAAGGCAACCATTGAAAATGTCCCCCACATATGCTTTTAAAAGCTTTTAAGTAGACCTGAAATCCTTAAGACTTTCTAAAAAATTGACTTAGTTTGTTTATCTAAGGTGTTTTTTTTTTTTTTTTTTTTTTTTTTTTTTTTTTTTTTTTTTTTTTTT